ACTCTGTTAGAGTGACCATTGGGTTCTTGGTCACCTCAAAGAGACCCTACTTTCCCGGTTACTCAGTTTGGCAGGACAGCCCACTCTAGGAAGAGTCCTGGTGGTTCCAAACTTCTCCCATTTCACATAATTGAGGCCACCGTGCTCCTGGGAACACTCAAAGCTTTAGAAATGGTTTTATACCGTTGCCCTTATCCATGCCTCACCACAATTTTATTGCGGAGGTCTACAGGGGGTTCATCAGACTTCATGGCTTGGTTTTTGTCCTGATATGCAGTGTGAATTATGAAACCTTATATACACACATGTGCTCTTTCTAAACTGTGTCCAATCATTTTGGTTTGACACAGATGGACTCCAGTGAAGTTCTAGACACATCTCAAGAGGAATGACCAGAATTTGTAGTCTTTATGAAACTGGTGGTCAGTATCTCAATGTTTACTTACTAAAGCCATATGATTGAGAAAACCTATATGACCAATAACACAGAGGCACATAGGCTGCTGTGCGATGTTAAATAAATGGTAAACCTCTACACCAGCCAGCTGCATGTATGCCTGAGCTGCCTTTCTCACTAAACTGTACCCCTCACTCTGATGTAAATCTGCCTGTCCGTCCACCTGATTGATCGCCTGTTACACAAGCGTGTGTCTTTGTCACATGGCAAACAATATGATCCATCATGCTGCTTTTAGTTTGCATAATTAACAAAGAAAGGTCTCAGTGACCCAAAGGTTCCTAAACGGATTTGATACCTGAGAGACAGATAGTGCAGACACCATTTAGGGAACATAATCGCCTCAAACTACATTCTGCATCAGTGCACCATTTGGATTGGTGCATGAGGAGTTTAAGTAATTATGGTACAATTTGAGCCTGAAAATAGCACAGACAGGTTAAAGTTGTAAGTGGGATAAGAAAGTAATATGAATGACAGGTTTGATTCCTCAAGGTTTTCTGATTCAGGCTCCATGTATGGCATGTATTTGGCAAGTTCGCCTTTAAGAAATCATCCATCCATGTCACAGAGTCGTGACGACACAGACTTCTATCTAGAGAAATGAAAAACTATTTTTGAAACACTCCTCACTGCCTTCCCAATTTTGCTTTTAAGCATGAATTAGTGGATAAAGTAAGAGTGCATCAATTTCAATGCCGGGGTGTGTGTGTGTGTGTGTGTGTGTGTGTGTGTGTGTGTGTGTGTGTGTGTGTGTGTGTGTGTGTGTGTGTGTGTATTTCTGATGGGGGGGGGGTTGGAGGTGTGTGTGTGTATGGTGGGTGGCATTAGAAACTAAAGATGCAGCAGCCACTTACCTTGCCAATTGCTCTATTTCTTTGAGTAAAATGGTTTTCTTGGCTGTTTTTCATCAAGGATTTTATCCCCTTGTACCCTCAGCTGGGAGAGGACTGAGTCATAGCTCAGTCAAGGAAGCAGGTGGGTGGGAGGCACACAGTGGATAGGGGGGGAGTGGGGGTGAGGAGAAAGGTAGAGGACGTGGGTGGTATGGGTGAAGGGGAGGGGGGAGATTGTAGTGAATGAAAAAAAATTATGAATGGTGAATACTACACATCCATTTTATTACCTGGTGTTCATCAGTCTCAGAGACAGAAATTCTGCCTGCAATGGAGCATAAAACCCTCACAAATGATTATGGTGTCTATTAATTGTGTGTCACTAAGTGTTTTGTAATTGCAGGTTTATTTAATGGTGACTGTCATATTTTAGAATGACACTTTAAAGGGGCTGGTAATCGACAGACTGTTACAGAGGAATTAATCTGGGCAATAAGATGAAGGAATTCAAATAAATTGTCTGGCAGCCACAATTATCTCAACTCACACCTGAGATGGAGCAGCATGTTTCGCCCCTTTAAGCTTCTACTAACCCCAACTTGATGCTTTTGTTTTTATTTATACTTCAGATTCTGTTATTCATGTTTAACTAACTCTGAGGTATGAAAAGATTTGGAAATCTGAGCAAAAGAAAAAGCTTGACTGTTAAACCTGTTAAACCTGTATGATGATTCTGAGGAGACAGTCAGATAAAATGTATGCATGAGACAGAAAGGGAGAAGGACAGCTGTGTGGGTGATGTTCTCTTTTTGTCTCGGTGAGTTTGAAAATGTTTGTTGAGGGTGGATGGGTGGGCAGGCCATTAGGAAAATTAATGTGCATGCAGCTGTGTGTATGTGCACACACACACACGTGTGTGTGTGTGCCCTTGCTCTGACATCACTGCTGCCGTCACTGCAGCCACCTCACAGTGACTCCCTTGTGACTGAGGGCCTGACAACCTCCCACGCTCTCCCCATCAACTCCCCTGCTCCCGCTCCTCTCGCCTCGCTTTATCTATAACCTCACCCCCCACCCCACACACTCCACTCACTCTGTCCTTCGCCGTCTGTCTCCCCCTCAACTCTTTTTTCGCACGCATCCATGTCTCTGTCCACTATCTTTTCTCTTTTCATTTCACCCACCTCCTTTTTCTTTTTTGTTTTCATCTCTCTCCCCCTCATTTGGTGTGTGGGTCTTCCCTGCTTTCCGTCATGCTCTCTGCGCCCACAATGCTGCCTGTCTCTGTCTCTATGGAAACCTCGAGTGGACAAGAGTGGCTCAGAGGTCTGTGAGACACTGATACAGACCCTATTAGATCACACGCTCTCTTTCTCTCCCAGAGAGCCACATGCTTGCAACCTTGTGCACATAAGCGCAAGCAAGCCTATACTGTGTGTAAATAGACAGTGTGTGACCATGCCACTACCTGCCATCACACAAAACACCCCCCCCCCCCCCATGGACTATCAGTGGTGTGAAAAAGGAGGAGAGGATGGAGGCAAAGAGGGAGTAAGGAGCGAGCCCTATTGTTTCATTATACTGTAGGTCTCTTCAATTAGTAGGTGGAGAGGGGGACCACCTGATACCGCCTCTGCACATGTATTCCCATCTGAAGCACACACACATACGCACAAAAAGACACACACATGCACACACACTCTCTCTCTGCCCCCCTCCCCTCCTGTCTCCCCTCTCAGTCTCACACCTCACAAACCGTATTCTCCTCACATTTACACATTGTTGAGCCTCCTGTGTTGCGTAGACCATGCGTCATTTGGGTCCAAACACATCTGAAGGACAGGTGATTTGTGATAAGAGGCGTCACACAGACAGAATTTCACAGCTTTGGGTCGCTCTCCTGGGCACCATCGTGATTTGACGGTCACGCTTAAGTGGATCATTGCAGAGGGTAATCATGGGGTGGATACGTAAGCTGTACAGCATGTCATTTTGTGGACTAGTGGAAGGGAGGGTGAATGAGAAAGGAGGAAAAAAAGACAAGAAAACAGTGATATTGGAGTTCTTTTTCTCTTTAAAGACAGGGCTTAGCTGCTTTGAAAGAATTCAATTTCTCTCGCATCTGAAGGTTTGTTGGGTTCCCCTTTATTTTTATCAAAATGTACATGAACAAACTACAACAAAGGACTACATTAAAGAAGACATCAAAACAGGCAGCAATAACAGGGGTCAACAACTGAACACACACCCAACCCAGCCCCAAGCCCACCCCATTAACACCCCCAGTGCAGTGAGATAAAGACATGCCAATCATGTCTCACATTTAGGCACTTGATTTCCCTACCGAACCATCTTTGGTCATAGTTGCTGTTGCACGGCTTTTAAACTTAGATTCAAACAGGTTCGAGGTGGATTTGAACTTGTTGATTCGGACTGAGTGAATTAGAGAATGCTGATTCATGCTGAGAGGAGTCCCTACAAGTCTAAATGTAATTTCTTTCAGTTTGGACAGATCTGCATCTGCCATGTTTAGAGATGACCCAAAGATGGTTATAACCTGACCACCTCCATAGAGTAAACTTTAGCATTAAATAAATCAACACTAGATGGTACAGTACTTCACGTGATTACAGAAAAGACTCCACAAGGGAAAGAAATCAAGCACTACATCTTAACACAATTTACCTGAAACAATGCAGTGTATTCGCACACAATATACTGTAATCAATACGCTGTACAGTCTATTGCAAAGGCATTGTTGTTGGCATTTTTATGTAGGAACTAACCAGTCTGTTTACCACTGAGTATTATCTTGGAAAGTCTTGCAAAAATAGATCAATTTTTATTAAATTAAAAGCCTTTGCTTTGACTTCGGGATGTGATCTATATATTCAGCTACTCATGCGTTGTCCAACTCTGTGTGCATACAGTAGACTGCACGTTTGTTTGTTTGTATGTATATGTGTGTATTTGTGTGTACGTGTTGTGCATGCGTGTGTTTTGATGAAAATACTGTACACACCGGTAGACTTGTCCCTCAGTATTTTTTCAGAATACACCCCCTTGAGTAAAGGAATAACAAAGTTACATTAAACTGTTTAAGAAGCATAGTAGTCACACAGTATTTGGCAGTGAGAGAACAGTCCTAATTTATCCATGCACAATATCAACCACAGGCAAGGTCCACGTTCTGAACAAACCCATTAAGAACAACACAGTAAGAACATGAAAAGAGTGTACAACAATTCAAGAACCTGGAAGTGTGTTTGCACATGTGTGTGTGTGTATGTGTGTGTGTGTGTGTGGGTCTGTGTGTGTGTGTGTGTCTGTCTGTGTTTGTGTGTGTGTGTGTGTTTTGTGTGTGTCCGTGCATGTGTGAATGTCAACAGCGCAGTTGGTTTCCCAGGGAGACCAAAGGGCTATGACTCATGCAGTGCATACAGCATTTTCTGGAATTTCAACAATATCGGAAGAATTATTATTTTCCCACAAAGCCCAGATAATTACATATAATCATGTTAGGACCTTACAGAGTACTCTGGGAGTTTACTGTAAAAACCCACTCAATCCCACCCCCACAAGTCTATTATAGACCAAACAGTTTATCCCTGGATTATATTTCCATTCTCCAGCTCTTTCATCATGGCAGAGCACCTTCCCCTTGCACGATTATGTCTTATGTGTAATTAAGTGTGTGTTTGTGTGTTTCAGACTAGTCCAGTCTGTGTGCTCAGGTGTAAGGGGTAAGGTTGGTAAAGCAGAGTTGATCCCCCTTGGGGTATGTAGTAGCTGCAGTAGCTGGGTTCTGCTAGATAAGGGGCACTGTGCTCAGCAAGGTACGGGGCAGGCTGGTAGAAGCATGTCACATGGTCTGTGTTAGGGATAATGTTCTGCTCTCCTAGAACCTTCAGTGCCAGCACCGTGATCATGTTCAGCGTCTGACGCCTCTCGTGTCCCATCAGACACACCGTGCTGTCGTCTACCACACGACGCAGCGTCATCAGGTACTGGTACTTGCTTCTTTCTTCGCCAATGAAGTGGTTCTTCAAGTAGGACAGGATCTTCCTCTGCTGCTCCTGCACGTCGGGGAAATCAATGAAAAAGCGTGAGCACATGTAGCGCTCCAGTGTCTTTATCTGAGTCTCACTGGCCGGTCGGTAGTCCCTGACCAACAGGTTGCTGTATTTTAACAAGCCACCCCCTCGAATCTCCTCTGGGTTCCTGGTAGCGATTAGCCGGTAGCGCAGGTGGTCCATGGCTGCCTCAAAGTCACCATACATGCTCTCTGCTAGGACCTCGACAGCAGGGACCGAGCCAGAGGCCCAAGGAACATTGCTCTGTTCAGGCATGTCTGCGGTTGCCTTAGGGGCCTCTTTGTTCTCAGGCATGGAGCTGGATGCCTCATCGGCTTTTGGAGGGGCAGATTCCCCTGGGCCTCCAGACTGAGAGTGAGGCAGCACATGTGAGGTGGAGCTCGGGATTGTGATTGGAAAAGAGACAGGCTCTGCAACCCGAGGCAACGACGAAATGTAATCTTGTTCCTTTTCGTCCTCCGACTGTAGGAGAGGAACTCGTGGCTGAGGGGACGACTCTTCAATCTGTTCCTCGCTGTCTGTGTTCAGTATCAAAGGCTCCATGTCTGAAGATACCTGAGGTACAAGGTCCTCTGACTCCACTGGGGGAGTGAGGCAGAGGAGGGGAGGGCTGAGGCAGGGGGAAGGTGGGGTAAGACAGAGTGGAGGAGGGCTAAGGCTGAGCATAGGAGGAGTGAGGTAAGGAGGTGAGCTGAGGCAGGATGAGGTAGGGCTGAAACTCAGGGGTGGAGAGCTAAAGCTCGTAGCAAGGCTGGCGGTGCTCGGCATCGGAGATGAGAGGCAATGGGGGGGAGGGGTAGGACATGGGGGAGGACTGAGACTGGGGGGTGAGTGAGTGAAGCAGGGAGGGGAGAGACTGAGGACGGGAGGGGTGAGACAGGAAACGGGAGGGGTGACACAGTGGGAAGAGGAGGGTGAACTAAGTGTGGTCTCTTGTGGGCTGGTGTTTGGCTGATTCAACTCCATCTTTTTGGTCGGTTGTTCTCTGTTTTCGTCTTCATCGCTGAGCTCAACTTCTGAGGTATGAACAGGTTCTTGGGTGTTTGAGCTGGACGCATCAGTGTGTGAAACTAATGTGTCCGCTGAGTCGAGAGACTCTGATTGTTTGGATGTAGAGACAGGTTCTTCAGGCGAGGACTGGCTTTCTTCATCAAAAGCCACATGTGTAGATGGTTCCTCTTTTAAGCTCGTCTCACATGAACCATCTGTGATTGGCTGAGAGGACGATGGCTCTTGAGGTAAAGACATGGGATCCACAGCAGAAGTGGAGACTATATCAGGGGCTGGATCAGGATCTGAGGTAAGGTCTAGCTTTGAAGCTGGGTCACTGGAAGGGTTGGGTTCAAGCCCGGGGTTTGTTTTAGTAATGATACTGGTTGTTGGGGTAGGTGTAGGGTCTGAACTGGGAGCTGTTGGCTTGGGGTTAAAGGCTATCTCAGGTTCAGGGCTGGGGCAGGGGTTTGGATCTACACATGGCGCTATGACAGGTTCACTTTCAGAAGCCGGACTGGAGTTAGGACTGGGGGTAACCTTCCTACACATCCTCCGGGGGGGTTTGGGAGACGAGTGTTTGAGCACCACCATGTGAGATAGTCTATCTGAGGCCTTACTAGAGGGAGAAGAGGAGGTCTTTTTGTCAGAAACAAGGCTGGGTGGTGCAGGTAAAATATCCTGAGTATCTGGAGGGCTGACAGCATCAAGTATGTTAGATGATTTTTCTGAGTTATCTGTGTGTACTGTGCTGTGAACCTCCAGTGTATCCTGTGTGCCGGTAGGTTGTGTGTTGTGAAATGTAAGAGATATGGAAGAGGAGGAGCAGGAACAATCACTACCCTGTGTGTTTTCTGTGTTTTTTGCTTCTGATGCTAAAATCTCTTCTGCCATTTCGCTGGTTTCAGAGTCATTTTTCCTCTCTGCTTGTGTCTGCTCCCCTGTCTCTGTTTCTACTTTTCTTTCATCTGCTAACTGTGTCTCTACCTTAGCATGTGGAAATGTGATAGTGTCTGCAGCAGACACATGTTGTGTTTTATCTTTCTCATTGCTACTCTGATCCACATTGAAACACTTAGAGATGTCTGTTTTATCAGAGTGCTCTGTAGTGTGTGATTCTTCTTCCAGGTTTAAAGATTCTGCCTGGGTTTTGTTTGACTTTTCTGACAACTTGGACTCTCCCATCTGCTCGGTGAGATCTTTCTGTTCATCGGGGGGTTTTTTGTGGTTAGATGGTTCTTTCTGGACAGAGAGTTCCTCGTGATCTGAATGTGCTGGTTGGTGGCCCTCATTGGACTGGATTTGCTCTGACTGTTCTACCTTCGTTGAGCAGTTGGTGTTGTCCGAGAGCTCTGGCTCATGTCTGAGTTCAATTTGTGTTGGTGTTGGTGTTTCAGTTTTCTCAGAGGTTTGTTTCTGTTCTGACAAAGGGTTTAGAGGTGTCTGCTCAGAGACGTCTGTCTCCTTTAAATTTTCTCTATGTTCTGACATGTCTTTACGCTCTGCAGGTGTTTGCTCTTTGTTGTCTTTTTCCACTTTGGATTCTTTTGTCTGGTTTGAATGTTCAGTTTGTTGTGAGAGGTCTGTCTGCGACCCCTTTTCGTGCACCTCATCTCTCTGCTGCGTCGGGCTGATTTGAGCACCCTCTTTGCTGGATGAGTCTCTACCAGTGGTCCTCTCTGTTTCTGGAGCAGTGGGCTGTTTAAGCAGAGAGGTAGAGTCTTTATTCTGATTCTCTGCAGGCTGCTCCTTAACATCAACAGAATTAGTTTTGTGCTGTGACTCCTGCTGCATGTAGGACTCCAGGAGACGGTCCAGAATGATCTGGAAGGAGTCGACGCTGAACTCAAACTGCCTCCTCAACGCGCTCACAAATTTGAGCTCCAGATTCTTGCCACTGTTGTTTGAGAGGGAGATGAGGCTCCAGCGGTCATGTTCATTGAAGACCTTGACCATTTTCTGGACGTAGGCCTCCTTCATTGTCGCGCTGCTGATCCGCTCCCTGTTGACCCCGGCAGGTAGGCAGTCCAGCAAGCAGCCCAGCACTGACTCTTTGATTACCTGGGAGAGGAAGAGGTCAACAACATGACAGCTACAACTAATGACTGCAATCTAAGTGCAATTTTGCCTCTATTGTTGAACTGAATATTGTGATAGTTTTCTGTACAATGCAGTTAATATATTAAATTCGGTACCACTGATTCATCCCTATGGTAAAATGTCTTAAAATTAGTTAGGAGTGCAACATCATTATCAATATAGCACCACAAAAATCAATACTGCAACACCCCAGAGATAGGAGACATTCAGTGCTGTGCTTATGGATAATACAGCAGAACGAATGCTGGTCAATGCAGGATATTGATCCCCAGTGCTCACCTCCAATTACATTGACCTGCTTCCTTTTCATAACTAAGCAGTACACTAATCATACCTGGAACTCCTCCTGACTGGGCAGCTCCACTCCAAAGATGATGTCCAGGTCCTTGTAGCTGGTTCCGTTGTCTCGGACGAGGACGTGGCTGGCCGTGGAGCCGTTCAGACGAACATCTCTGACAGTGATCCCCTGCTTCTGCAGCCTGGCCCGAACAGCTATGATGATGTCTCGAGGACGCAGCTCCAATGTGGGGAAGTTCCCGCGTCCGTGGATTGGAACCACCTCTGACAGAACCTGATGGAGAACCTCCACCTGCTCGGCATTCAGGCTGTGGAACCGCTGGCTGGATTTGGTTTCAGACATGCTGCTGCCCTGAAGGGAGGGAAGGAGGGCGAGTTTATTACAACTCCCCCAGCAAAATGTGTTTAACTCTCTTGCTTGCTCTGTCTCTCACACAAACACACACACTTAGGACTCGCTCTCACTCCCTGCCAGTCTGCTGTCTGTAAGTCACAGTTTGGCTGACAGCTTTTCCACAATGCTAATGTAACTGCTGTGTTGACAAGCTGACACATGGAGAGAACCATGTAGATGTGCTCCGCATAAATATTCTTCCACTGCTGAACCACATCACAACAAATTAAGAGGTTTGTGTTTGACTGGAATCACATAAAATGAAACACATTATAGTATTTACTAACCAAGACATATCACACCAAGTAGCTCTTTTCTTTACACTTATCATACACATCAGGGTCCAGTCCAGCTCTTTAGCATTACAAAGAACAATAAATATTTACATATAAACAATTATTGTGTAGGATAAAAATAATAATGACAACAATGAGATGTAAAGCCAGTCTAAATCTTTGTTTATTGATTGTTTCCACCAGAGGAGCAAGGGTTAAGCTGAATGAGTCATCAACGGCAGACTGCATTAATCACACCAACGTCACTAATTAAAGACACACATCTGTTTTTGTGTCCGTGTGTGCAGCACATGATGTGTATAGATTACAAACAATGACTCCTACACACATTCATGTGAGCGCACACAAGCTTTTATGTAACACCTTTTGTAAATTGTAACACAAATTGGAACAAAGTGAGATTTAATTTTAGCCAATTATTTCTGTTTGGCTTTCACACATGTAATCTTCCTGGCAGTTATGCATGTAGCCTCTGAATCCAAACTCCATCAATCAATCTCTACAAACTACACTCATTTTTTAATAAACCGAACAACATTTTCCTAACTAAGTCGGTCAGAAGAGTCTCTGTTAAGTGATTGAGAGTGTGTTTGTGGGCGCACGTCAAAGTGTTTCAGGGAGTGAGTGCTTGTGTTTGAGTGCAACTGTGGTTCATAGCAGCCCATTATGATCTATTGTTTGCTTTAATCAATAGTTGTCACTCAGCGCTACAGCTGAATGCTGCTGATTGCTATGATTTGTCAATACTAGCAGGGTAAACATTGGGATACTAATGAGCAGTAATGGGATGCTTTCTGGTAGCAGTTTGTCAGACATCAGAGGGCTATAGTCTGTAACAACCACAAACAATCTATTATAGGCAGTGTTTATAAAATGTTCGAATCCATGTTGTACACACTTCAGCAAACAGCACTTAACTCCACTGCATCTGTAAAGCTACAAAACACACCCTCTGTGCTCATTCAAAAACAGCATGCATCCTTACCAGGAGACAAAGAAGTTGGATCTGAGAACAAAAGCTCCTAAAAAAAACTGTTGTGGTTGAGACATCTGTCTGTACCCCACTTTAACAAGGTGAACTTCAGCTTGCAGAAAATAGTAATCATAGATCCAGAGGTGATAAATACAGTCCAGATGTTGACACTAGATATATATACAGTGAGACAATGTGTTGAGGAGGCAGAGAGGCACTGCGGGACTGTTTTCCAGCTGGCCCCCATGTCTCCCCCTCCCCTTCCTCACTCTTCTGCAAACTTGCAGCCTGAGTGACTCATCCAGGCGTATCGGCTCAGCTCGCACATAATCTATGGCCACTGAAAACGCAACAAATACAAGGATCTCATAGACGCTGAACTACATCTAAAACAAACACAAACAATAATGCTCCTGTCTCAGATTTAATTTCTATAAAGTAGCACACAGGAAACCAAACAAGTCTGCCCTGTGTGTACAGATACCCTGTCTTTATCAAGAGACAGAGATATATTTTGTCCTATGTGTAGAAAACACTAGATACTACCAGAATAGCCCTATGTGTCCCTGACTTTTTAGAATACAGTGTACTTGCATTTATCTAAATGTGCTTATTTTTTCTCTGCCATTCACTTAAAGTGATGATACTGGTTAATACTGCAAGAAAAGGTAAACAACTAAATATTTGTTGCTTAATATTTAAATATTTGCTGTAAGGTTATTTCAATGTATACTGACCAGATATTTTTTGAAAAAAAAAAAAAAAAAATATATATATATATATATATATATATATAGGTCTCTCCTTATATAGTATAAATACAGAGTATAGGATCGTTAAAATGCAGCTTCTAAACTTGTTCCCTGAAAATATAGTTTTCTGAAAAGAATGCCAGTTATTTTCCAATGAAATAACCACCAACTGGAGCTTATAATTTACCTCTTGTACAGTTTCACACTCCATCACTACCTATGATTTACTGGACATGATCCACAGCTTCACTCTGCCCCGCTGGGCTTCACTCTAACCACCTAATTACGCACTTACTTACACCTGAGATGGTGAACGCAATTAACCACATTTAAGTACCTAGCAGGATAAAAGGCAGTAGTACTTCTGAGTTCCAGGATTAAAACACATCAGATACCGGTGTATGTGCTTCATACAGCCGCTCAAAAGTGAATTATTCAACTTTACAAAGTCGAAGCTTCTTACCTGTTGCTGTGGCATTTGAGGGAGCGACTGGCTCCTGGTTTGACAGCGGATTTAAACCTAAAGTATCCACCGACCTTCAGGTTCGCAGAGTCTGTGTCTCTTGTACGTGGGTTTGTTTTTCTTTTGAGGTCCCTATCCTGTCCGGTTAGACTCGGTGCTGATGCGGCTCTGTCCCTTCTGAGGCAAACGAGGCTGGAGTCTGTGCGCGAGTTCATTCGGGCGCTGTCCAGGAGGCGCGTGGTGCTGAAATGAGGACCGAAATGAGTCCTCGCGCTCTTGTTTTCTCCTCCGACCGCCAGGAGCGTAACGCAGTTTCCATAGCGACCTGCCGTCATTCAGTTATGACTGGGGAGTGTGTGTGTGCGTGTGTGCGTGTACAGCGGTCTAAGCTCACAACAATGATGGTGGGGTTGTGTGCTGTGGTGGTGGCGCGGGGGGCGTTAACAGGTGTCAGAGTTAATTCGAGTATTTGTGGCAGCTCCATGTTTGTCCGTCTTATAAAAAAAGTTTAGCTAAATTCAGAAGCGAGAGAGAGAACCTTCAGATAAAACCTTTCCATTGTAAAGCCAGAATGAAGACTGACTGCACAGACTCTGAGGGTTATCATAACCCCAGTAAGCCGGCTGAATGCAATGGCTCTTCGCTGTGTGCTTGCTTTTGTGTGTTCGTCGTTTAAATGGACTGAAATCACAGCGTCACCTCAAACGGTACCCCATGGCCGTGCCAGGGTTGAAACCAGGACTTCTCTGTTTGGGTTATGCAGCTAGCTCAGCCTCAGGACACATCCTCAGAGGACCCTGCTATTAATCAGCTGGCTGAGCATGTGGGTTAGTTTTGGGGAACATTTCTGAAACACCACTCATTCACTTCTTCACTCAGACACGCATCATCATATCTAGTGCTGTGGCCATACAGACTATCAGCAGATACACAGTATGAGTCATCCATGCTCCCTCCCCCTGACCCAGTCGTTAATCCCCCCCAACCCCAGCCCCCTTCGGCTGGCCGGTGCAGGCAGATACCAGAATCCTTTTCTTTCTGGACAACCGATGATCCTTTTCCCTTCCCTCTTGCTGCAATTTCTCGCCGTCTGATCCATCTCTTCAACACCAACTAGCCTAAATCCCTCTATGTTCCCGTTGTGTTCCCGTCAGCTCACACACCAGTCCAGACTAACACTCTCTCTCTCTCTCTCATGCAATAAATAAAGGCTACAGATGTTAATGCATCATAAATAAAGTGAAAGAAACATGATTGAAAGCGTTAAGGTAAACAGCGATGGCTCTGCAGAAAAGGTCAATTTACCCCTTCACGAAAAAAGCACAAATGACGTCATTAGACGTGTACCACAACCTACCGATACCGGGTACAAACTATTTTTAGCCTGGATGGAACTTGTCTGCTTTGGACACGCGCGCTCGTCCATTTCTCAAACAGTCCTGACGTAGGAGGCGCGAGCACGCCATGTAAAGTCGTGACCATGTGACGACGATGAAAGGTAGCCATATGTATCCAAATATCACTAACTGCATCCAAAGATGAAGATAAATCAAGATGGCTCAGAAGTCGTTTTCCAAAGGCAGTCATTTGGTCCAGCCACAACCCAGCAGGGACGAGAAATCACATCACACATGGACACATCTGTCTGATATTAGGCCATTAATTAATAATAAGCCCAGGGGCTGGGTATCTAATGCAAAATCGGCAAAATATGAAGAAAACTTCCTTAACACTCGTTTCTGCGCATGCGTTCTATGAATATGCCTGATTTTAAACAATTTATCTGAAGTTTAAAATGTTTTTTCCTTACCTGAATAAATGAGAAAAGGTCCTCCGAAGTAAAAAAAAAAAGGTAAATATATATTCCAAGAATTACAAGACCGTCGATTTAATAGATTACAGGCCAAACGCGAAGCTGCCACTCTGTTAACTGAATTTAAGCAAATGCGGAAGTACGCACAAGTGAAGCATCTCGCCTTGCTACAGTAGCGAATGTAGCCTGAAAAATCAAAACAAACTACTCTGGGAAATAAGCTAGTGGCTGAATGCTACTCTGTGTCTGTAACTACATTACCAGACTGAGTAGTTGTCTCAGAAAGAGACCGTCATCATGTCGAATATGGAGAGTATCCTTTCCCGTGTGGTCTAACGTGCAATAATGGTGGTTAGCAGTAGCAGTAACTAGCCAAATGATTTGGTAGCTAATACTGTTATGCAGTAGCTTGTAACTTTTGCTCAGTCATTCACTGACGAAGGAAAACAAGGACATGTTAGTTAATTCACCTAATCAACGTGACAGCTTTCTGAGTTGTATTGAATGAACTAAATGCCTTTTTGTGCTTTACTATAGGTTCAGTGAACATCATCATTATAATGCTAATTTATACAGTTACTAATATAAATCATTCCTTGACTAGTCATATAGAATACTTGTTCAACCTCAAGTTTGCTGCCAAGGAGCTTCAGCGAAACTCAAAGAAATGTGTCAAAGAGGAAAAGGCAGAAAAAGCTAAAGTGAAGCAGGTTGGCTTGTAAAATAGGGGATTTACCAGAGACCAGAATCCAGGGGCAAGCTGGTCTACAGTATAGCTACCATCTGTATTATATGTGTATGTATTCCTCTTTCCTTTGTCTCTCAGGCTATCCAGAAGAATAATGTGGAGGCAGCCAGGATCCATGCAGAGAATGCCATCCGCCAGAAACATCAGTCCATTAACTTCTTGAGGATGAGTGCCCGTGTGGATGCTGTGGCATCCAGGGTCCAGACTGCTGTCACTATTAACCAGGTCAGGATAGCAGGTCAATGGTTTGTAGAGGAATTTCTGGTGTCACATGAAGCAGGTAAATTAGAACCAGTCAAAAAACATACCAGACCTGTTCACTGCAGTCACCTATCAATTTTTCATTATGATAATGATAATTCCACCATGTCTCCTACTTTAAGGGACTCTAGTTGTATTTTACACTTATTACCATTACACTGATGAACACTTTTTAGCATTATGTTTTGGGGCATTTTCTGCCCTCATTTGATTTTGATAGTAGGATGAGGTGAATGGAAATTAGGGTGGGAGATCAACAGAGGATTGATTCAAAGCGGGGATACTGCAGGTCATGGTTGGGGACTAGGCATACAATGTAATTTCTGCAAAACAGCAAACCCAGTGGCCATCCACTTTATTAACCCAACCGCCTCCTGCCTCCTTGGTTGATATCTTAAGAATGACCCACTGTCTTTACTGACAGAAATGTAGAAATGAGATGATAATAGTAGTGACTGATAGTAGTATTTATACTGATATAGATATGTGATACTACTATTGTAAATATTGGTATGCTTATTTAGCACATATGTCTGTGCAAGTTGTTTATCAAAGTATATATTTTGAAAACTGCATCTTAATTCAGAAGGTGAAGAACAGAGTGTAACCAAAAAGTCCAAAGTTGTCGTTCACTCTACTGAAAGTCATAGGGGACAAAGGAGACAGAGAGCATGAGAGTCAAAAGCCTAGCAGACCTGCAAACAAAAAGATACCAATTACACAATGTCATCAGATGTGCTACAGATTTAATGTTATTAGCTTCTCGCTCTTATAAGAGTGACAGCCTCTTTTAAATTGCTCTAATACAGGTTCACTGTAGGACAGACATAATTTTATAAAATTGAACTTAATAGTGTCTATAGATAGAAGCAAAGCACAAGATGGTATAGTGGAAAAATACTTGTCAAAACCTCTTTGTGTTGTTGTAATACTGCAGCCTGACTAATAAAAAATTTACCCAGTAGGATTGATAATAATTCTGTTTAACATAACTTTGTCAGCTTTAGGTAGGTTGGTTTTGAAAGGACTAATCCTTGATCAGCCTCATCTTTGAAATATTTTAGAATAGGAGATATCCCTGATAAAGTATCTGGTTAAAAAGCTAAAAGTGACACCTAGTGGAAATATAAGGATACAGCCCTTTAAGCTTTGCCTGTCAACAGAAACCTCACAGTCTGACTTCAAACACTCTGAGTTTGGAATCATAAGAAATCAGACCATTAAAACTAGAGAAAACGACATAAGCTTCAGCACTTTAATTTACGTGTTTTTTGGACAGGTGTCTAAATCCATGTCTGGGGTCGTCAAGAGTATGGATGCTACACTGAAAAGCATGAACCTGGAGAAGGTAAAAAAAAAAGTGAACCCTTACACAAAGTAAAAGAAAATATGTTTGTTAAGATTTTTTTGAACTTTGTTTTCTGGATACATATTCCTCACCAGATCTCTGCATTAATGGACAAGTTTGAAAACCAATTTGAAACTCTTGACGTGCAGACAGCTCAGATGGAAGACACTATGGGCAACACCACAACTCTGACAACACCTCAGGTAACAAGCACCCTCCTATAACCTATCCTATCAAAAGAAACCCTCTGTGCTTCTGCTGCTGCTTGTGAGGTCACTCGTGCCCCAGATATAATTCAAACATTTAGTCCTTTTGACATTCCTGTTTTTTGCTGTTTAGAATGAGGTGGATATGCTGTTGCATGAGATGGCTGATGAAGCAGGGTGAGTATGGCCCTTATCTCCAAACTATTAGAACATATAGAAAACAATAATGACAGGAACAGTATTAAAGTATTAAAAAAGGAGAAACATAAATGCAGTGAATTCAAATAAGAACATACTGTACCTATTTGTTGAATCTAGAAGGATAAAACTAAAAAAGAGACTGAATGAATTGTACTAAAAGCTTTATTTAAATGACTTTCATATAAAATTAATGAGAAATTACCTTTTCCACTCTTTACAAGGCCGCCTTGTAATACAAAGAGACCATTAGAATTAATGCTACAATTTTAAAGAAGCTGTGTTGCAAGGTCTGAGTGACTTTAATATCCCCCATTTTAATGATTCAGCCAAGCAGAAATAATAATAAAACTGCCCCTGTGTTTTTTTTTTTTTTAGTTTGGATCTTAACCTGGAGCTTCCTTCAGGCCAGATTTCCTCACTGGCCTCATCTGTGGCATCAACAGAGCAGGTAACACATCCACTCTTATTATTATGCTTTTGCTATTTGTTTTTTGGTGTTTTACATCCCAGAACAGAATTCACACATTATCTTTATAGTCTTGAACTACTGTCAGTCATATCGCTAGAATTTACAGCGATGCTCCACTGAAACACTCACCTCCTGTTCAACTGAAAAGTGGTTATTAAACATTTGTAGTGTGGAACATTGGCAGTGGTCAGCTTGAATTATGTATAGTATGTAGGTTGCAATAAATTACCACAGAAACGTCTCCAAGCACTCATGCAGCTCAACGCACTCAACATGTTCAAAACAATAATTGTTTCCCCAAAATATCTCCTTCTGGAGCTTCATGGAGGTTTGATTGCATGACACAAACGCAATTTACTTTGCCACGTTTTACCAGAACAATGACTCTCTGGGTCATAGTGATCACACAAATGGATAATGGAGAAGTGGATTATGTGGCAGGGAATGTTTGAGTTGTTCCCAAAGATGTTTTGATACATTTTCCATCATGACAACTCACCATTGGAATCCAGTATAACCAACACAATTCAAGCTGGCCACTGCCACTGTTATTTGTGAGGAACAGAACTACAAACCTTTTGCAGGCACCATTTAAGGGTGAAGTGTAATCTCTAGAGGTGCCTCATTGACAGATGTTTTTCCTGAATTGACAAACTATGTAAACCTGAAAGGTGTTTTTTTAGATGATTTTTCCAGTTAATAACCACTAAGACTATAATGAAAGAAAGATTTGGGGGGTTTTAAAACTGACTGTCTTGGTTAAAAAAAATATTTTAGATTGTCAATATATTCTGTTTTCGGCTGTACTTTGCCTTGACTGATTCACCTGTGCTGTGTTTTGTGTTGTTGTCAGGATGAGCTCTCCCAGAGGCTGTCTAGACTGAGAGACCAGGTGTCATAATGATGCAGAAAATAACAAGATCAGGAGGAGGGAGAAGAGCAAGAGAAGCAAGAAGAGACAAGGAGTGAACAGAGTAAAAGAAAAAGTGGAGAATAAATGAAAAAAGGTGCAATGTGCCTGCAAGCTCTGTGCCCTCCTTTGTGTTCCCGGTTTTGTTTCTCTTGTGAGGAATAAAGGAGTTGCCTCATAGCAGAAAAGGATTGTTGGAAGAGAGGTGTTGTTTACAGTCCTGGTATTAACTGCATTGCTCGTTCATTTGCACACTCGTATTATTATTTATTATCTCAGATATAGGACACCACTGTGTTATATGTTTATTTATTTTTACTTGTGTATTATATAATAACTCATACCTCATACCAAATGGGTTATACACTACATATAAAATATAAAGAGCAATATCTTTATTTATGTGTGTATTTATTTATTTACTGACTGGATGTAACTAAGGGCATGTTTACTATTTTTCCTGCATGACTGAGGATGTGAAGACTCCTGTTTTTTGCTTCCAGTTTTGGCTGTACTGGTGTGACCCAAGTTTATTACATTTTTTTATATTTTACCCAAAAAGAGATTTTTAGATAAATGTTTGCCTTAAGTATGCTTCCAATGCAGCTGGAATATTATTGATTGTCTTCATGTAGCGGTAACCACTATGGTGGATTACCATGCACTTATATGCACAGACAGACAGTCATTAAAAGAGTTTTTAAAATGTTTTGATTGTCACGTTTTTTTTTGGCATTTTATAGCTGTGTTTTAGTTGAAGTTTCCACCTCCACAGGCCTTGAAGTCCCTCCTTTTTCCATCTCACCCCTCCTCTTTCTGTCCTCCAACAGGGAACAGATGAGAGGTCAAAGGTGTCACCTGTAGAGGAAACGGCCCTCTGCCGCTCGCATGCCAGTGTCTCATTACACACACACACACACGTAGTTCACTATATCCCATGGGGACATGAGTCTCAGCTGGGAGCCATTACAGGTGCTGTCTAAGCGCACACAAATATCTGTACATGAACACACCTGCAACCCCTGTAGCTGATGGGAGTCCCCCAGAGTGACACTCAGCCACCTCTGACCCTTTTTGTGTCCTTCCTAATCATCATCAGCACACACTTAACTACATTCACAATCATCATCAGTGGTCCCAGACTGACACAAGTCTCTATTTTGCCTATTACCAGACACTTTGATGAGTGAGTTGTCTGCAGTGTGTTTGAGCATGTGCACGCTTCTTGAATCCTCGATTGTCGGAGTTTTCCGAAAAACTCTGACCCCACTGATCCAGCAGCTGTCAGTCATTTCTGCCAGGAGTTAGATCACATGAATTAAACATTCCACATCCCTCCGCTAAGTTAAGGTAAGTTTAAAAAAAAAAAAAAATCTATTTATAGCCCTCAGTGGCCATCTCCTCTCTTTAAACATGATTAAAGCTGGAAGAGTCTGTCATGTCCTATTTTTCTCTCCACTGCATGTATCCTAACATATGTGCAGGGATGCTTCCTCCAGATGTGCATGAGACAGCTCCTGTATGAGCACTGCTCTGGGGGAAACCTGTGTTTGTATATGTGTGTGTGTCAGGTGTTGATACCCAGTTGTTCTCTCCTCCAGTGCCGTCAACACCTCCTCGTCCTGGTTCCTAGAGGAGTGGTACTTGTTGACAGGCAGGGATCCGGTGGGCCGGTGGTCCTGTCCCCGTGGCCGACCTGTCTGCCTCTGCACGGAGGGGGAGAGCAGCTTGGAGCCACACACATTCCAGCTCAGTGAAAAAGCTCTAATTGCTACAAGGGGGACTGGTTGGACTTCTACATGATTCACTCACAGGATATGACACAGTATGTCCAGACAGTTAGTCATAGGCATGGATCAGCAGGAAAGGCTACATGCAGCATAAGTCTAATTTTCTATCTTGAGAATAAAATTTGTGGAAATACTAATTTACCGCTGCATAACCTCAAGATGGAAATAATAACAATTTAATATGGTACTTAAAGGGAGAAAGAGACAACATTTATTGGAACACATTGGACACAAGTCATTTAGTCAGCACACAGATGGTCAACCTGACATGAAAAAAAATTAAAATAAAATTGAATGAAATCAGTCTATAGATTAGCACACAAAAATATATATGAAGAATAACAATTCCAGTATTAACCAAATAATGAATCATTTCTTTCATTTACAGTTGAAATGGTTAATCAATGAATCAATTATATGATCAACAGTAAATATTTTGATAATAGATTCATTGTTTCAGTCATTTTTCAAGAAAAGCTTTCAAAGACACATCAGACTAACTTTGGGCTCTGGGACGTTGTGATAGGCATATTTTCACTATTTTTTTTTTAATTTCATGAGTAAGTGATTTATGGATTAATCAATATAAAAAAAAACAATCTGCAGATGAATTAATAACAAAATATTTGTCAGTTTCAGTCCTACTTGTGTTTGAATGGAGCAGTTCTTTCTAGGGATATTACCATTTTCCCTATACAACTATTATACAGTTCTTTCCAGGAAACGGAAATTATTTAAAACAGGAAGTATTGAATGTACTTAAGTGAACTGACTTCATAAAAAATGCTATATATTATAGCCCACATCATAGGTTTAAACTGATATCAGTCTTCTAAAAGAGAGAAAAACAAAGATTTCATACATGGTGCATATTATGTTTCAAAGGAATATTTGTACATGTTTTTCTGGTTTATATTATTTGTGGTATACCTTTTAAAGTTGTTTTTTGGTCACAGTGTATCATCAGTTCAGAGGGTAGACAGCAAAGAGACTCAACATCTTTTTAACAAAAAGTTTAATTTAGTAAGGTGGCACCGGCTCTTCTTTTCCCTCTTCTTGTATTATTTCTCCCTCTCAGCCTCCCGTTTGAAATATTCAATTACTATCCGTGAAGGGTCAGGTCAAACACAGGAAGCCAAGCTGATTGGTTCTACTCAGATATCGATGGGCATGTGTGACCAATCGCTGCTGCCCAGGGCTTTCCACAGTCTCCATTTGCTGCTGCTGCTTTGTGTGTGTGTGTGTGTGTGTGTGTGTGTGTGTGTGTGTGTGTGTGTGTGTGTGTGTGTCTAATCGTTCCAGCCTAAGGCTTTCCCCAGTTTCCACTCACCTCTTGACCATTGCTTCCTGTCAGATGTGTTAACGCTGCTTTTAATCAGTTTTACTGTCTCATGCACACACATACACACACGCGCCAGTACAGCTGGCCCTATCCATCCCTGCTCTCCAGAGCACGCTTCATTAAGATCTAACCAATCCCCTACTCGCACCCTCATAACCTCTGTCATACACACACACACAAATACACACCTGATCCTTCCACCCCTCTCCTCACCCTGTTAACCCCCCTCCACTTGACCCTCACCTCACCCCATCACCCACCCTGATATCTCTTACAGTGAAACAACCCATGAACATGGACATGTAGCCTTGTCTTTTACTCTTTCTTGAGACTGTCTGACAGTCGTTGTGTCTACACTACATCAGACTATACTGTCCTTTATCTCATGTTATAGTTCATCACCTCAAACAGGGAACTGTTGCCTCAGGCCAAATCAAACAAATCACATCATTAAGTAATCCTGCAAAAATGTGTAACACTTAATAATCAATAATAATGTAACTTATCTAAGCTAGCAGGCTAAAAGCAGTTGTTTTGACACCTAGCATGAAATTTGGTACAGATATTCATGTTTCCCTCAAAGTGAACTGTACCCTCAGGTTTTCATGAAGCACCATCACCTGGTCAACATTTTCATTTGCCCAGTACTTACTTTATGAATAAATACCAGCTAAACAAAATCCTGTCTGCTTCAATTGTGCTTTGTGTTTAGTGCTAATTAGCAAATGTTAACATACTAAAGTAAGATTGTGAACATGGTAAACATTATAGCTGCTTAGCATCAGCATTCTAACACTGTCGATGTGAGAACGTTAGCATTGAAGTTGGCAAAAATGAAAGGGTTACTGTCCTAAAACAATGGAAATAGATTTATACAATCAGATTTTCTTGTCATTCTTTTCTTTTCTTTTTTTAAATCTAATTAAATTTTTTTTTTTTTGCTGTTGTCTCAGGCAAAGAAAAAGGTACTCATTTGTTAGGCGTTGATAGATGGATGGAGAGAAGGCCTGAAGCCTTCACAACTGAGTTTATTTAGAAAGTAAATTAATTCACATTTTCACTTCATCTTCACTCTACCCTCTCGGGGTGAAAACTCTACAGAACAATGTGGGTACACTTCAAAATTGTAGGTAGTAAATTAAGGAACTTGAGAAAATTTGGCGTGAAGAAGAAGTTGCCTATATGTGAGTATTGTAACGAATACAGACTGGAAAAATATTGAATCAAACTTGAATTAAACGAATTACTAATATTTAAATCAGGGCATGTGGAATATATGGCTGTATTTACTTGCAGAGGAATATAGTGTAATTCATTAGGATCATTCCAATCCACTCTCCATTCCAGAAGGTGGCAGTAATGCACCTAAAAGCTGTTTGCCAACCACCAAAAACAATATCAGAAGAAGAAGAGGAAGATAACGAAGAAGAAAAAGTTGGGACTGTTTGCAGTGGATTTTGTATGACAATATTCACAACTTGGAATACTTGTATGAGGAAACATTTTAAAGCTTTTGATCGGTGGACCCTTACAGACTAAAGGAATATAAATAATCAAGGAGTAGACAGTCAATCAGACTTCATGACCGCTGTAAAGGTAGGGTGTTGCCATGGTTTCTCTTCTTGATGGTTTATGATGCCGATAAATCTGAATTAATTATACTTTTGTGCTCATGGTTACTGTGAAACGAAGTGAACAGTTCAATTGTGGAGAATCTATCCAAGCTAATAATGTGTGTCAATATTGACAAAAGTGTAAGTATGTATATCTTATGAATGTTGCTACCCTGCTTTGCACAAGCTTTAAACTTGATGACAGCGACCAGGTGGATTTTAAGAGCCCTCTCAGTTGTGTGTTTTGCTCATTCTGTTTAAGCTTCATGTAGAAAAATAGCAAAAACAGCAAAATTATTGGCTGAGATAGTTCATTCTCTGCTTGGGTTGTGGAACCAAGCGGCAACATCTGTGACTGAAAAAATGAAGCCAACACAGAAGTGCCAAAAACTGCAAATGGCCACTTGCATGGCATCAAAAGCAAATCAATCACTTTCGGTACTTAGTCGGGAGTTAGTCAAGTCAGAAGTCCTTCTGAACCTATATGGGTGACCTCACGGAGGCTATATCCATCTTTATACACAGTCTATGGGTGGAACATAACTTCAGGAAGAGGGAGAACAGGGAGAGTTCCTTCCTCATTTTTTAATAGTCTCACCTGTAATATTTATCTCCCATAGATTTGCTCTGAATTGAATCTGAAAAATACAGCACACTGTGCAGTTCAAATCAGAAGTAATGATAGTTAAATAATTTATAGTATTTACTCCCTTGTAACCTGAAACCTTAAACTTCACCTAGCTATTATAGATTTGTTGAATATGCTGTAACTACAGTGTGTTCCACGTGGCTGGTTGTGTAAGTTAATTCTAAGTTAGTTAATGAGGTGACGCTCTGTAGTTGTTGACAAGATGATTGTCTCCTGATAATGAGGGAAACAGGAAGAGGAGATCTATTAATCGGATTTATAACTCTGGAATTACATTATTATTATACCATGGATGTAACAGAGCTCTGTGTGTGT